CAGGCGTACTTTGGGGGCTCTGGCACTGTCACTAGAAGGTGAGAAGCTGGTAGAGGTTTGCAGACATACTTTGGGGGCTCTGAGAAGAACAGACACCATTAGGGATCAGGCCACCATGCAGTGATTAGGGATCGGGCCACCACGCAGTGATTAGGGATCGGGCCACCACGCAGTGATTAGGGATCGGGCCACCACGCAGTGATTGATTGTGTACTCTGACACACATTATTTGGGTGTGCCTCTGTGTCTCAGCATGATTCCTTCCCTCTCTGTAGATTCCTGAGCACGTCCTCAGCCCTGGCCCGAGTTCCTCTCTTCTCTGACATTCAATGACTGTATCACCATCAGGAAGTCTTGTGGTTGCTATTTTCCTGCCTGACAGCCGGGGGTCTCCCATAGCGGGGTCTTCCCAGCCGCTGAATCACAGAGCTACAATGTCAATGTTGGCTCTAATCCCGCACATTGTTCTAATGTTACCAGGGAGCCGCTGCCGGCATTCCAGCTCCTTCCTATTACCGTTACACTGCAAGAATAGCTAGAGTGTCAGCTCTGCAGACCAGGAATGATTGAATAGCAGCAGCCTCTGTCCAGCAGTGAATGGGTTGTTAGAAGGATGACACCCACTCTGGTTGGTGCCCTTTCCCATCAGAATGCTCCAGTGTTTGTGTGTTGAACGGCCTCTACGCCTCTCACTGTCTAGGCAGCCGGCCTGGAAACACATGTGAAAATCTCCCAACAGCTCCCGGGACTTCTGTCTGGAATGTGGCCCGAGGACTTCCCAAAACACGTAATTTCCCGAATCCGGCAAATAGAACTGACCCAGAACTCCCAGAAAACATGTTATTCCCATACTGAGTGGACAGAAGTATGTAGTGTAAGTTCCATCACTAGCTGTCAAACTCTATGGGGTGCAACAGGCTAGTTTATGGTTGCCTCACATGTTATCCCAGAGTCCAGCACAATGCAAATTATGGCCTTCCTGTAGCCTCAAGGGCCAAATATGGTGTCCCTAATTACCCTAAGAGGCTTGGTATGGTGTCCCATGTAACCCCAAGGGCTAGAAATGGTGTCCCTGACTGCCCTAAGGGCTTGGTATGGTGTCTCATGTAACCCCATGGGCTAGAAATGGTGTCCTTCACTGCCCTAAGGGCTTGGTATGGTGTCTCATGTAACCCCAAGGGCTTTGTA